TGAGTTTGAAAGTAGAATTAATGATTTAGAGAAGGATAATTTTGCTATGAATATTAGGCGTGATGCTGAGAATGCTGAACTCAAGTTTAGAATTAGAGAGCTTGAGATCAACTCTTAGCTAGAATTATAAATTAGAATAGAATCAGACATCATCATGATACTGATCTATTTTTCCAGCTCTTTCTGATTATCATAAGATTTATAGTAAATGTAATATGAAGCAAAAAAAATATCTTTACAAGTTGATCTATCTGTATGAGCTGAAGCAAATTCCAATTATCTATATCACTAGCATATGAGAAAAAAGATCTTTAATATGCGATTTCTAAAATCGTGTAGAATTATTTCTTTCTTTGTTATAAAATATAAAAAAGGAAGCTAAGTTTTACCTGATAATCCTTTTATTCGTTTCGTATAAGTATAAGCAAAATAAATAATTAAATCTTACATTACAACTAATAGCTATCGTATAATGCAAATCATCTAATCTGAAACAATGCTAAATTGTCTAATTTCCTAATTTATTCCATATATGATAATATTTATAGTCAAAGACTTTAATATTTTTATTGAACCTTTTCATCAAGAAATTGTAATTGATATGTAAATTATCATTGATACAGCATTCGTTATACTTAGGATAATTGTATATCACCTAATTTTTAGAATCAAAATCTTTGTTTCTGATAAGATTTTTGAACTCAATTATGTCAAATCTTCACAGATTGTTTATATTAATTCAGCACCTTATATTAGTTTCTGCTGAAACTTCTAGCATCGAAAATTCTGGCAATATTTATTAAAATCTCTAATCTACTAGTATTAGCACTTCATTTCATGAATTCTTTATCACATTTTAGATAAATAGTAAGAGATTCTCTAAGAATCAGATCTGATGTTGATTTGGAATTTCAATAAAATAAGAAGCATACTGCCCTCTCAATCTAAGATTACAAGGTGACTAATCAAATCTATTTTTATATATATATAGAATTTCAAAAATAATTTGCATAAACTTATATATTTGACTCGCATGATTATGTATAATTATAAATTTTAGTTACACATAATAAATAAGTACTTTAAATTAAAGGTATGTAGAATAATTTTAACTCAAAACTCGACTTGACTTGACTTATTAGAAATACTATAAATATTTATATTTTTAAAATTTCTATAAATGGTCACTGTTAACTTTTTGAATAAAATAAGAAAATGGAAGAATAAAGCTTTCGCTGTAAAAAGTATAAAATAATCTTATTTTCTAATTTTATACAACAAATCAAATAATTGCGTCTGATCGATTATTTTTGTATAATAATCTGCTTTACATAAATTACTCTGTACATTACTTTATCATGAACTCAATAAAATTGAAAGATATGCAATTTTTTGGCTTTTTTCACATCTTTTTTTTTGCTGTTCTAGTGATATTCTCTGAAAATTTTTCTGTATTATTAGTTCTTATGTGATATCATATTATACATAATTTAAAAATAACTAATGATCTCTTCACATGTGATTTAAAAATTAATTCTTTTATTACAGAGCTCAATAAAATTTACATCAGCTTCTCTAATAAATTTTTATAAATGGTCAATAGTGTGATCATACTTTTGAAGAAGCCTACTATAATGAGTTTGATTCAGTTAGTGCTTTTCAAATGGGTTAATTTAATACTACACAATTGCTTAAAGGATATAATCTAATGAATTTAATCAATCTTCTTTAATAAATTAGATTGTATATACAGGTTGAATAATGACAAATCAGGTACCAATTAGTTATCATCCAGTAACCCAGATGATAACCAATTGGTATCTGATTTTTTTATTTAGAAACCTGATTGCTGTCATAAAATGACGGTAAAGGAATACAATCAGATTCAAATTAAGGCATACAAATTGGGCTCCCATCAGTCACTAATTTGATACTAATAGAATATATCTATTGCTATAAATTTATTTAATTGTTAATACTCTGATTGATATCTTTCAATCTTTTAATTAATTACAACATCAAATAAAATTTTTCGATTACAAAAAAATTTATTCAATAAATTTACTTATTATTTACTTATTTAGCATTTATTTATAGCAGAAAAAAAATATAAAAAATAAAAAAAAAAAAAACTGAAAAAAGCTGAAAAAAAATAATTTAAAATTTAAATATTACATTGATTAATCGTTGTCCTTCTCATAATTACTATTATATTCTATCAATACTAAACTTCTATTTCTTCTTTCTCTATTCTCATTATCCTCCTTGAAACTGTTAGCATAGTTTCTATTATAACTATCATCTTTCTCTTTGACATTATTTGTATCTTCATGAACTGAAAAGTAATTAACATTACTATATCTTCTAACTTATGACTTTAACGATCTGTTATACCCTGTTCTTGTTTAAGCAGAAGCATTTACAAATGCTTTTTCTTCGTTTAATGCAAATTCAATATAATTATACACCTGTTTTCTTGTTCTGTGTATCTTTGAAACTTGGCTGAATTCAGTATTTACATAATCTCGTAAAAAGATACATAACTATTAAAAAATATTAATTAATACATGCTAATTAGAACCAATGATATAATAACATTCATTACTTATTATTAAAGATCGCTACTTAATGTCTCTAATGACGATCTTTTATTTGAGACTTTTGTCATCAGTTTCTGATACCTCTGAACTATGGTATTGATTATCAGTAAAGATCGGTTAGATTTCGTCATTATAAAATTTTCCCAATAATTGATCATTCAGTCTTATTAATTTGCTAATTGTTCTAGTCTGTCTTTCTTGTTTCTAGATAGCAAAAAAAATTAGATAAAGTTAAAAAATAAATAACATGATCCTTTATTAACCTCTATATGTCACAAACTAGCGTGCTTTTCCTTTATTATTGTCAGTCCACTTGATGCTTATTTTTTAGTTTAGAAATTCTTCTCATTAATGATAGTGGTATTCATGGATTATATATTTGATTATACCATTCACTACCAGAAACATTTTTTTGTTGATCAATTTTTGTACTATCGGAATGATTTTTTGGTTGACCAATTTTGTTAGCTTTCAAACATTTTATTTACGTCTAATTTTTGACTTTTTGGTAGTCTTTTTATAATCCCTAATATTTCAGACTTAATCACAAAAATACATTAACTATTAGCAAAAAAAATTTGATAAGTATAAAACAAATGAAAAATAAAGAAAAGATTACCCTTAATGCATTCTTTAATTCCTTATTCATTTCATCATAAAAGAGATAAGTATAAGAGGAAGGAGCAGGAGGAGGAGAATGAGATGATTGGAATGATGATAAGTTTCAGTTAGTCTTTTTTTAATCCTGATTGAAAAGATTTCTTTTAAGTTCAGGTCATCTTTTTTGTATTCGTGATTTTTCCAATTGAGGCCTATTATCAAATGTTCTTTCTTGGCTTCTACCTCTATCATCATATTATTCAGAGGCAGAATTCGTAATATAAACTGACTTTGATGAATAAGCCTTTTCAGCCATATTTTTCGAAGAATCAGGTTGTCTATATCGAGGGGTTGATGTAGAAAAATTTATTTCATTATTCGTCCAATCAATTATTGTGTCTTTTGGGTCTATTTCCTTTTGTTTTCTCTTACAATAATCATCATCAAACTTTTAATTTCATCTACTTGGGCCTGTAAAGCATCTATTGTTTGAAAATATAATCAGAATGGCTATATATATTATGATCTAATTAACAATACATGTATTATACAATAAACAATCATACCGATTGATTTTTCTTTCTCTTTCTCTTTCTTTTCTTCTTTCTCTTTTCCTATCTCTTTATCTTTTCCTTTTCCTTGAACTATATCGATTGAACTATTTTTTTTCTTTTGTTTTGATCAATATGGTTTTTCTTTACGAAACTTTTCAGAATCAGTTTCAGAATCACTAGAATAGAAGAAAATAAAAGAAACTAAAAGTAAATGGTAATAAATGAAAAGAAAATATTAAAAATAATCGATTCATAACTAAACATACAGTTTTTCACCACTTTCATATTATTTTTTTGAAATAAGTTTCTTCAAAGAATCACCTTTTTTTTATTTGCTAAAATTGATAAAATCCTTTATGTTTATCTCTATCAGAAGACTCTTTATCAGATAAAAGATGTTTATTAGATTTTTTGTTAGGCATGTTTTGAAAGATTTTTCTTTTGTTTGGAAAAAACTTTTAATAAAAAAAGAGAACATAAGGTCTTTTTATATGTTTCTAAAGGAGTATCAATATTAAACTTTTAATCACAGAATAATACAGTCATTGAAATAAACTTTCTTTACATTAGTAATAAATCAGAAATTTTGGTTGTAAAAGTATTAGTAATCATTGGAAGCAAACTTTCAATGAATCAAACATATTGGTTGTAAAATACTAGTAGTCATTAAAAGCAAATTTTCAATGAAATTTTGATAAAAGTACTATTGGTCATTGTAATAAAATTCTTTGAATTAGAAAATTTTGTTTGCGATTGTTAAAATAATAGTCATTGAATATAAATTTTCTTATGGTAGTAATAGATAGGATGGGTTAATAAATCTATCTAACTGATTGGTAATATTTAGACTTTTATTTTATCACAAATTTCGTTCTAACAGATAATGAAATTTTATAATTCAAATAAACTTTAAGCTTTTTATGCAAATGATAATTTACAAAAAGCGCAGTAAAACCAGAATAAATTCAAACCTAATATATTAAATTTTACCTTTAAGATCAATCATAAAATTAGCATTAGCTACATGCAAGCATATTTTATTGATATCATATACTTAGTGATTTAAATAAAGTATTTTTATGTGAAGACATTTTATTGATATCATATACTGATTGATTTAAATAAAGTATTTTACTAATATTTATATGCTTGATTCAAATAAAATCTATATATATATATACTGATTAGAAATAGCTAAATATTATAAATATTTATTTCTTTTTAAATTAAATTTTTTATCAAAAAAATGCTAAAATCAAAGAAACCTCATATTAATAAGAATTGTTTAAAAGCTATTCATACTGATACTAAAACTAGAAATTTAGTTGAATGCAAATGTACATTACATTGTTATGGTAGTAGATGGGTAGATCCTAGAATATTTGACAGACATCAACAAAAAATAGACTGATTTCAATACATTACTTTCAGACAGTATTATTCTTCAACCTCAAGAAGCATTAAAAATAATTCTATTGTAACTGAAACAGTATCGGCTTCAAAAAGAAAAAAAGTAATTAAACTAGTTGAACAAAATCACAGTTCGTATGAAGATACACCTAGTGATGATGAACCAACTCCAATTATTTTAACGGATCAAAATTTAATCGATGTACTAAATAAACGAAAATATTACATGATAAAATATAATATTCTTGATAATGATGATCTAGAAATTGTTTTAGATCTATCAGATTATAGAGAAGATTATGAAATTCTGATTAATGATGAAGAGTTCTCTATAGAGAAAGATGATCATACTTTGAGTAAAGACAATGAAGATGATATTCTGTTTGAGCAATTTACTGCTCCTAATTTCAACGATTTTGATTCTGATTTAGAACATAGATATTCTAATATGAACATTAATTTCGATAATTCATGGATATTGTTATGAATATTCAAGTATTAATTAAAATTCCGCCTTCCAGATACTGCTATTGATACACTTATTAGATTTTTTAGGATAGTTTTGTTAGAAACTAATTGGTCATGATTTAAAGGTTTCCCAACAAGTTCCCATATGGCAAGAAAATTGTTAAAAGTCAAAAGACAATAAAAGACATACGCAATATGTCCAAAATGTAATGCTTTATATAAAATCTTAGAAATCTTGACAAAAAATGTGACTGATCAGTCAAGCTCTGGATTTAAATGCACCTATGTAAATTTCTAAATCATCTGAAATATAGTGGTAGACAATCATATAGAGCTGAGTTAGTCAAATATATGCCAGTAGTAAAAGGCTATATCAAAAGGCCTAAGATCGTCTTTCCCTTATCATCTTTAAGATTACAAATAATTGCAATTTACCAGTATTCAGATTTTGAATCTTTTCTGAGAAAATAGACAAATCGGAATACTGAGATCAGCTTGATGTCAGATATTTATAATAGCAAAATTTGGAAAAATTTCTCTTTACAACTTGATACAAGCGATTCTCAATTTTTCATACCAGAAACAGCTGATCTTCATTTAGAAATTATTATTAATCTCAATTAGTTTCAACTATTAGAATCATTAGCATATAGTAGCGGCATAATTTACAGAGCAATATATAATCTTCCTTGAGAAGCCAGATTTAAACGAAAGAACATATTATATCTAGGATTACTACCAGGAACCAAATGAAGTCAAACTACATAGAATTAACCATTATCTCTTCCTGATTATTGATGAACTGTTAGAATTCTGAAATAGGATAGGCTATCAGTCACATATGATCATTCTACTGGAAGAAATGTTTAATTAGTAGTAATATGCTGTTCTAATGATATACCAATAGCAAGAAAGATTTGTGATTATATATTAGCATTGTTCGCATGCTATAGATACTATAAAAAAGCAAATACCAGTGGTAATTTTAGTAAGTTTGATGATATGACCGATTGGTTTCAAGAACGTGATCTTGAAGAATATTGATAGAATACCGAAGGATGGCGATAGTGCAAGTCTAACGATGAAAGGAAACAATATATTTCTATAACACTTGTTAGGTAGTCAGAAATGTTAAGGTTACCTTATTTCAACCTAATAAGATATCTTATCATCGATCTAATGCATTGTCTTTTTCTTAGAATTATATAACGGATTGTTAAAAAATTATAGATTGATAGCAGTAAGCTCACTAAATCAGACCTTGAATTAATGAAAAAAAGAGCAAAATCTATCAAAGTTTTAGCTGATTTAGGAAGAATTCCTTACAAGATTGCTACTGGTGAAGGGTTTTCTGGTTATACCACAGATCAATAGAAGTCTTTTATTCTTATTTATACAACTTCATTAATGTGAGACCTTCTATATACTTCTGATCAAGAGATTCTAGCTAATTTTGTAAGAGCTTACTTTTTACTTACTTGTCAAATTATTAATAATGATATATTGAGTAAAGCTCACGATCGATTACTTCAAGTAGCTCTTTTAATTGAAGAACATTATGGGCAGGAGATGATAACTCTAAATATTCATTTGTCTTTATATATTGCTAAATGTTGCTGTGATTATGGACTATTGTATTCTTTCTGGTGTTATTCATTTGAAAGAATGAATAGATTATTATTTAAATAATTATAATGATTGTTATCGATACTCTAATTCATATTCAATTACTAATTTTTGTTTTCTTTAGGTTCTTTTTCAAATAGTCAGCAATGTATTGAACCAGAACTTTTGCGTATCATTACACAAAATTTAAGATTAGACGATCTAATTTCCAATCAATCGAATAATTCTAAGTTAACTGAGACGTTCAAATTAGTGAAATCTCAACTAATAACTGGAAGTTTAGCATTATATAATGGATTTGATTTTGCTGAATTATACCGATTCATGTGAATCTTCTATCATATCTCAATGATACAATCACTAGTAATGAACAATTCCCTGGAAAAATGATTACACTGAAAAAAATAATATATCTCTACCAGATGATATTTATAAAATATTGGTCCAATATTATAATAATGCATACGATTGGAAGTTTGTGATGATCACTAAAGCAGCTTCTGATGAATTGGTATCAGAAGACTCTATTATTGTATTACCACATATAAATCAATACAGACATATTCAGATTGGAGTTAAAATCTTTGAAGCAACAATAGCACTAAGGTATTTGAAAAATTCATATGTTATAGCTAAATTTATACAAGATAACGAATCAACAGATATATTTCCCGGTCAAGTCTAATTCTTTTTTATACATGCAATTAAACTTCTAATTAGTGTAAGAATACATTATTTGGTTTTTATAAAATGGTATCAGTCAGCGCCTAACTAATAAACGAGATTTCATTGTAAAGTTAATGATGATAATGATAGTTGTAATATCGAACTTTGGAAAAATGAATGTTATGAAATTAATAGAGATAGTATTATTCCTATTCATAACATTTATAGTTGATTTATACCAGGCAAATTTATAATAGGTAAAAAAAAGCCAAAAACGTATATGGCAGTTATATCCATTAATAGACAATTTAGCTTATAGATATATAGTTAACTTCTAATCAGTTTTAATATTTATCCTTCTCATTGGTCGAAATCAAAAAATCGAACATGTAAAAATCAACCTAAAATCAACCTAAATTTAGCCTAAATTTGGCAAATTATCAAAAATCAGCCTATCCGATTGGTATACATCAGAAATCAGCCAAAAATCAGCCAAAATTCAACCCATCTTATTTATAGCCAATTGGCATACTTATAGCTGATTAGTATATATCAAAATTTGACCTATCTTATTTATAACTAATTAACTTCTGATTGGAATGATAGGGTATTATCGTTCCTTAGGAATGATAGTATTATCATACCTAATGTATGATGGTATTATCGTTCCTTAGGGTCAATAGTATTATCGTATTTAAGAAACAATAGTATTATCATTTCTTAGATATGATGATTTTATTGTACCTAAGAAACGATGGTATTATTATTCCTTAGAGACGATAGTTTTATCATTCTCTAAAGATGATGGTATTATCATACCTAAGAAACGATACATTTATCATTTCTAAGAAATGATGGTATTATTGTATCTAAGAAATGATAGTTTTATCATACCTAAGAAATGATAGTTTTATCGTTCTTTAGGTAAGATGCATTATCATTTTTTAGAGACAATGGTTTTATCATTCCTTAGAAACGATGGTATTATCATACCTAAAGAACAATAGTTTTATCGTTCCTAAGGTATGATAGTATTATTATTCTAACAAATCAAACTTTTAGATTAAACCGATTTGCTAAATAATATTGATTTAATGTACTATTTGAGTTTATTTCTGGTATATAGGAATATTTATATAAATAAGCTTAATTTTT